GGTGACAGGTATATTTACCGATCTAACACCGGTCAGATTATATTTTTTGATCTAACACCCGTAACAGTAAAGCGCGCTCCCTGCCCCGCTCTATATGCTGATTTGGCGTCACGTGGGGTATAGCGTGCCCCCTGTACCGCGCTATACGCTGACATGGCTTACACGTGGGTGTAGCGCGGCCCCTGATCTACGCTACACGCCACGTAGGGGTATAGCGCTGCCCTTGCTCAGCACTATACCTGGGTATGAATTATATTTAACGCGGACCCTGGTCTGTGCAATACCTTTATCTAAATAATTACATATAGCGCGGTGCAGGTACCGCGCCTTATATGGTTATAAATACCCTTCGCTCCCCGTTAAGTTTCTCACATCTCCTCACATCTCTCTCCTCTAACTTATAAATTAATACAACAATTCCGTCAACGAGTAATAATTCTGGTAATTTTTTCATATTTGATTTAGAAGTTCGTGCGATTTTTCGTTATAATTTTTTTTATTATACTTATTGTTTATTATGATTATTTAAAAAATATTAAACTAATTACTTTCAATTAATTTTTGTGTTTGTAAAATTGAAAAGCATGAGCATACGTCAAAATAGTTTTGCGGTACAGGTAATAATATAAAATTATATTATTTAAATTATTTACGTTGACGTGTAAAAAATTTATTGTGTTATATTTTGCGTTCATATATAATTTATTTAATCAGGTTTGTTTCAGTTATTTTTTTACAGATATAATATTGCCGCACTTTTAAACTCAAAGAATGGCGAGACTTTCAGCTATTGTTTATTATGATGGTGAAATTCGAGAAGATGAAACTGGCGTTGTTTTCGTATCAAATGAGCGTGTTAAAATATCATTCAAGAGAAACATAACTCTTGAGGAGATGATAACAATGATTTCGAGGAAGATTCATGTTGGAAGCAATAGAAGAATGTCGTCGTTGCAGTACAGATTTCCAACATCATTGTTGCCATTAACTTATACAGCGTTTGAACTTTCTAACAATGATGATGTTCAAATGATGGTTGAAGCTCAAAGTAATTATTCAGACGCCGCTATTGAGATGTATGCATATTTTGTTCAAGTGTGTGCTGTTCAGGGTCAATCTTTAAGCTCCCACTATGGGCTGGCTAAACAAGTTGATCAAGTTGACAGCTCGACTACAGTAATGTGTGATGATTTTAATGCCATAATGGGGAGACATTCATCCTAACTCCTTACGATATGAATCGAGGTGGGTCCACGAACAATCCGTATGGCAACACCGCGTCCAGTTCAAGGGGAAGTCATTCATCTGCAAAAATTTCTTTGACCATATGGAGATGTCATCGATGCAACCATCTGTGTAGTTTCCATTTGACACGATGACTTCAAGCTCCAGGGAGAGGCATTCGACTGCGAGCTTTTTCGATCTCAATGTCGATATGCCTTCCAGTTCAAGGGGAAGGCGTGCAAGTAGTAGGTTCTTTGACCTAAATGTGGAGAGCATGGAGGAACCATCATCTCCACCAGAAGAACCGCTTCGTGAGCCTGGTGCGGATGGTGCTAAGACTGGACTATTCATTCACCTAGAATCACCGCAATTCAACTCCGATGATGATGAAGTTCCAGGAAATGTGGCACAAACTGACCCTCCTGTACACATGTATAAAGCTGATTATGGTGCAATGTACGGGCCAAAATTTATAGATATGCCTCATCTCGGTGACTATGGATATTACTCATCAATAAATAATGGCGAGTTATATATAGGCATGGAGACTTCAAGCAAAGAAGAAACGGTGATGGCTATAAAAAATTACAATATCCGTAATTCTGTTCAGTCCAGAGTCAATCGATCGACAACCGAAAAATATGTATGCTATTGTTCCTGACGCGAAAACGGATGCAATTGGATGGTTTGCCTATCGAAAATGAAGAGTAAAAACAACATATGGGAACTAACAGTATACAACGGTCCTCACACATGTTGTGCTGGCGGGGTCAACCAAGATTATCCCAACTTGGACTCTGAAATGATATACTAAGCCATCATGCTCATGGTAAAACAAGCTCTCATATAGCTGTTGCAGTGTTGATTTCAGCTATACAAACGCAGTCATCATCATCATCATCACGGTCCTCACACTGGTTCTGACTTCTCGCTGTCATCATCATCACCATCGTCGTCGTCGTCCTGAGCAGGTACATTAGGTTGATGAGGATTTGATGACGATGAAGCACCTCCATAGAATAAGGACCCTGGAGGTGTATGACTGATTATCCCACCGGCCTGCGAAAACTGATAAAACTCAGACATCGCTGAGTGTGAAAATTGTACAGGAGGTGTCTGTGCTGCGGCCATGGGTGATGAGGCTGAACCCGCCAGATATCTAGCATATGAACCCCAAGTCGGATCTGCAAACATAGACCCATAATAGCCTCCATGAGGGGTCATCTGTGACGGTGGTGGCGGCGGGGTCATAAAATCAGGTGAAGGCGGCGGGGACATCTGGTAATGGAAAGACGGCGGTATCATATATGGTTGCGGCATCATAAATGGCTGTGGTGGCTGTTGTGAAGGTCCTGCTGGTGCAGCTGAGGATGAATCGGAAGCACCTGCTCTCCGTCCACGAGTCGGGGGACGATGGTGCTGTGTCGGTGAACGTCTCTGGCGACGTCGTGGAAAGGTCTGCCCTCGTGCATCCTCGGGAAGCAGAAACAGTTTCTCGTTACTGTTGAACAACTCATAATAATCGTCAGAAAACATCAAGAGGTCATCAAAAATGGGTTCTCTACGGGGAAGGCGCCGATGTTGATCCTCCCACAACACGACCCACTCATGATGCCTCACTAGCCAATCTGTATCTGTCTTGCCGCGTCTATCTAAGCTATGCAACTCGTCCATATTGCGAGGTGTTTCCGGAATTGGTTGAAAACAGCCAAAATGTCGGAGCACGCGATCAGTAGAGTGCCACTCGACGGTCACATAACATATCAAAGGGACCATCGCCATCCAAACATCTGATGGGCCCCTCAACTCAGGTGGGATCACCACCCTCACATCATCAATACAATATGGCACCCATTCAAACTAAAATAAATCTTATATAATTTTTTATCAAAATAATAATCTAATTATATAACTATAATCTAAAATCGATTTTTAAACATTAAAATTCATACCTGTATGCCAGCCTTCTGATCGATTAGCACCCTAATTTTTTCTAAATCATCAGGTAGCTCCTGATGATTTTTCCTATCAGTAGATCACCTATTCAAGGAAAAAAATTATTATACGTTGTATAAAATTATTAATATACAAAATCAGTTTTATAATTACCTCAGAAGTAGTGGAAATACTAATGGGTTCTTCACAACGGGACATAAAAAGGGCAATCGATACCATGCCCAAGACTGCAGCAGCAGGAGACATCCGCCGATAGCATTACACCTGTAGTCAGTGGCTCCACACATCTCCCTTTACAGCAAAGCCAAAACTGCCGAGCCCCAACTGAATGATCCGGCCAGACGAAAGTCGCTAAGATCTCGCAACCACATGCAGTGAACTAGGTTGCGCGATTTGTCCGGCATCAGCAACCCTCCTATCAACTGCAGTATGCATGCCCATGCATATATCTTAACTTCATCCTCAGAGGCGTCTGCGCTCAACTCCCGAAAATTGGCATCTAACCAATTTAACGGTATCCTACCTCCGATAAAACTTTCCGGGACACGTCCTAGATTATCCCGACACAAAGTAGTCCAGGAACACTGCGAAATCCCTGATATCACATCTCCATCCACCGGAAGCCCTAGGTGCATAGCAACATCCTCAAGTGTAATCGTGCACTCTCCGCACGGAAGATGGAATGTGTGGGTCTCCGGCCTCCACCGCTCTACTAAGGCAGAAATAAGGTCTGGTTCTATCTTACAGGGACCCTGATATCTACCTATGTAACCAAATCCAGCCTCTACTAAATACGGCAAGACACGACTAGATATCACTAACTTAAGATTCCTAATAAAAGGATCTAATACACGGTCATTCTCCTAAAATTAAATAATTACACAAATTAATTCTTTATCTAATAATCATGCATTAAATAAATCAACAAATTATTACAAATAATTTAAATTAAATTAAAACATTAAAATGTTACCGTATCAGTAAAGTGTCGAGATATATGATTTCCATCAAAGCGAAGTAGACCGCCTTCCATTATATATCTGCAAAAAAATTATATTAGTAAAATATTAAATAAAGTAAAATGCTTAAATAAATTAAATACATAATATTAAAAATATTATAAAATATACCTTAAATAGAGAGAGTATTTGAAAGAATTTGAGAGAATTTGAGAGAATATGGTGTGATGAAAATAATAGAGGATGTGAGTATTTATAGGAAGGATTGGTGGTAATTAAAGGTATAGCGACCCCTGTACCGCGCTATACCCCACGTGTTAGATAAACAACTATAGCGCGGATCAGGGGCCGCAGTATACTCACGTGTAAGCCATGTCAACGTATAGCGCGGTACAGGGGGCGTGCTATACCCCACGTGACGCCAAATCAGCATATACCGCTGGGCAGAGAGTGCGCTTTACTGCTACGGGTGTTAGATAGAAAAATATAATCTAACTAGTGTTAGATCGATAAATATACCGATCACCGATGATTTTTCGAGAAAAAGGCCAAGATATAATTTTCATAAAAATTTTAAAAGAATATTAATTTCTATAATAATTAAAAAGTAATATATATACACAATAAAACCGATTTTGTATGCATAGGATTCCAGTTATTATCATTTAAAAATACTCAATTTCCAGCAAAAACAAAACCTTAAATATTATCATCGGGGGTAGAGGAATAAGCAACTTAAAAATGAAACCGATATATATTTAATTGTAATTACAGAACAACAGAACACAAAATAGAAGGGGTTTTTCATTAGTTTTTTTTTTTTTTTTTTTATATTTTCTCTAACATATTAATCTTCAGTGCAGTATTTTATTTTCTTCTTCTTGTAGTCTCTAAGCACTGCGTCTCGTCCATCCATGACTTTGCGGGACCACCGTCACCGGCGTCAGAGTCGTCGTCTGTCTACCTGCCACCGCCACCCAGCTACCACACCCGTTACATCCTTCTGTGCGTCATGTCTCCGGGAACGCCTCGCCGGCATCCAACACGACTCTCCTACCACAACCCCAACTTCTACCACCTCCTCAACCTCCCAGCTCCGCCGATCTAAATCCTGCTCCGGCGGCCATGACCCATCTTCCTCTGCCGCATCCGAGCTTCGCCGCAAGTCTTGTGACGTAAGACCACATAATACTCTCTACGATCTTTTCGCCGTCGACGATGAAATAAAAATCCTTAATGCGGACCTCCCTCCTTCAAATGGTGTATCTTTTCAAGGTTTTGAAGGGGGAGGAGAAGAAGAAGAAGGAGGAGGAGGAGGAGAGTTAAAAACGATGAAGGAATTCATAGATCTCGAATGTGGAAGGAAAAAAGCCTCGGGGAAATCTCTATGGGAAGCAGCTTCCGTTTTTAGCAAGAAATTGAGGAAATGGAAGAAAAAAGAGAGGAAAAAGGAGAAAAACGATGGTTTGGTTCATGAGAAGGCAAGCGGAAGGGGATTAAGAGATACCCAATCGGAGACCGGGGAATATGGGTTGTTTGGGAGAAGATCTTGTGATACTGATCCTAGATTATCAGTTGATTTTGGGCGTTTCTCTGTTGATGATTCAAGGTTTTCCATGGATGAGCCAAGGGCTTCTTGGGACGGTTGTTTGATTGGGAAACAGAACCCAAATGTTAACGAGGAACCCAGTTTTCGGGAAGAGAAATTGAGTGCTGTAAAAGAGGAAGAAAGGATTAGCCCTGGTGGGTCAGCTCAAACGAGAGATTATTATGCGGATTCTATGACTCGGAGGAGAAGTTTTGACCGTTCATTGCGGAATAGGAAGATAAGTTTAGGGGAAGCTGATGATTTTAAGTCTTCGATTTTGAATGCTAAAGTGTCACCGGAGACTGTTGGGCTGTTTCATGGGGCGAAACTGTTGGTTACCGAGAAGGAATTGAGGGATTCCAATTGGTATTCTAATGTGGAATCTTGTTCTGCGGATGTTGAACTTGTTACTAATGGAGTGGTTGGTCAAAAAGCTTTTAATTCGAAGAAGGCGAGGGGTTGGAAGAATGTATGGAGTATCTGGGGTTTGTTACAGAGGCAAAAACAAAGGGAATTTGGAGATGAAGTTAAGAATTTTGGAGGAAATGTAGGGAATGTGAGGCTAGCAGAGTCAGTGCAGAGGCTTCAAAGGGTGGTTAATGGAGAGGAAGATAGAGTTATCGAAGGAAATGCAGGTGAAGGGACACTTGTGGATTCATTGCAAAAGCTTAGGAGGCTTGCTGATGGAGGTGAAAGTAAAGCTATAGGGGGAAATGTGGACGGAACTCTAGCAAAGTCGTTGCAGAAGTTAAGAGTGGCCAATGGAGTTGAAAATGGGAATGTTGTAAGAGAGAAGCTTCTCCGGAGTTTTAGTGTTAGCGCTCGGAATTCAGTTGATGGATCATCTTTCTATAGGATGAGTGTGACCGATGCTAAAGGCAATGGTCCGAAGAGAAGGGATAATCATATGTTGCAGCCAAATAGGAGTGTGAGGTATTCTACTAACAACCTTGATAATGGCCTATTGCGGTTCTACTTGACTCCATTGAGGGGTTACAGGAGAAGCAAATCTGGAAGTAGGCTAAGAAACTCGAACTCTATAGGTGGCAGTATACTGTAGCTGTGCTTACCAGTAAGATTCTGTGTTGTAAAAACATTTGTGTTGCTCCATGTTCTATAGATAAAAAAGTAAATCGAATGGTCATCTTTGTTGTACTAAGAATGTGTTTTTTTCTAATAATGCAGCAATGGAAAATTTGGAACAGTATCTTGATATTGCTAGTATGGTTAGAATTGTCGTAGAATTGGCTTTAGCATTTACAAGAAATGAAATAACTTTGCTGAGAAATTTCTGGTGAGGTCTTTTATGTTGATTTCGGCTTGTAATTGTTTATTTATGCATCCTTTAGTCTACTTTTCTTTTGCTTTCTTATACAGTGAAATCCCAGAGGCACTGCATCGACTTATTCTTGCTTCATACTAACTGGTCTGTGCTAGTGGAGCTGTCATACTCAACTATAGCAAAAAGATGGGAGTTACTGTAGGTATGTTTAACATGTTATTGAAATGCATGTTATTGAAATGCTTTGTATGCATAATTCGTGATCACTAGTTTCGTGAACAAGTTTTGATACTTGGAGTGTTGATTATTCATCTTCTGCAAGTTGACTTCTAGTAGTAGATCCTCTTGGGCGTTATTGTAATAAGGTTGCTCAAGATTGTAGCCTCTTGGGCGTAATTGTAATAAGGTTGTTAGCTTCTGGGGCTCTTAATTCTGGGTGTACCTTATTTTTTGACTCGGTTTGTCCCAAAGTTATCTTATCGGATGTATTCAATGACATTGACTTTGGATAATATATCTGCTGGGCACTCTTTTCCCCTCCAGGATTAGAAGGGGTTTTTAATGAGATCTTTTTTTTAGGGATTGATATGGGTCAGGTTGGGTCGGGTTTTTGGTCCACTCGATCCGAGAACAAGAGAGCCTCCACCCGAGATCCGACCCGACCAAAACAAGGCTTCACCCGACCCAACCCAACCCGAATATATGACATAGAAATCCGACTTGACCCGACCCGATCCGAAATAAAAAAAAATATATTTTTATTCAATAAAAACAGTGACTTAATTGAAAAAAAATTATATATAGAGGGGTATTATTGTAATTATCCCTAAATATATAGGGTAAAATTATATATATTTTTTCGGGTCGGATCAGATTTTTTTACCCTAAACCCGAACCCGACCCTGACCCGACCCGAACACCACATAAAAAAAGAAACCCGACCCGAATATGATTTTTTTTTAAAAATCTGACCCGACCGATCGGGTCGGTTTAAATGCCCATCCCTACTTTCTTTGGCCTTCTTTCTTTCAAAAAAAAACAAAAAAACATAGTAGTAGATCCTCTAAAATGAAACTAGTTAATTTTCTCTCTCAGACCAAAAGATATACTGAATAGTGTATCAATCTCTTAGTTCTGAAATACTAAGAAATCATATCTTGAACAAACAACGGCAATATATTGATATGGTTTGTATCTATCTCTTGGTCTTGACAAACTAAGAATTCTTAGAATCTTGTTCCTTATATATACTGTCTTCACAACTGTCAATGGAAGAAATGTTGTTATGATGACTTTAAGCTATTCATCTTTTTTTAATTTAAACTGTCAATAGAGTTTCAAAACGATATTATTGACGGATTGAAGACGACGATAGACTATCATCAAGAGAGAGACTGAGAGGTGGGACCTGAGAGAAAGAGATCACCGGTTCTTCTACCAATCTTGCATGGTGATTTATATGTTGTCCTTTAGTATTAGTGTTAGATAGGATGATGATGTTATTTATAGGGTGGTAGACTAAATGGATTTGTCATATACTAGATTATAGATCTTACATGTCTATAAAAAGTAACATCAAGATATTTTATTTCTCCAGAGGATACGTAACTAGAAGATTTCGAAAAACACCAAAGAATATGAAATTCCAAAAACTCGGTACTTGCTAAGTGGAAGCAATTAGGGTTGTACTGCACGAAGGTTTACGATAGCTACCAAATTGTAAATTATAAAATATTAAATGACACTCATTTTTGCCATGTAAGTGAAAAAGGTTTCTGCCTAAAATCATCTTCACTAAGGAGCGTTTAACTAGCAGTGTCCTCGATCATGTGACTGAAATTACGAATGATACTTTCAGCCGCACCTTCCACTACCATATTTTTATTGCATATTGATTTTAGGTTATTTAAAAAAGGTTTAGTGTTTTGAAAATTAAGATTAAGAGTTTGTGAATTATTTGAAAATATAATAAATTAGATAAACTACATTTTAAATATCTAAATTTTTACATTTATCATGTTTAACCTTTAAACATGTTATTTAATGCGAAATTGACTCTTATTTTTGTTCTACATTGTATAAGTTAGTTGTAAACACCCATTTTTTGCCCGGAACTTCCAACTTGGAAGCCTCTCCACCGATGAGTCACCAAGGCGAGTCACCTCCGAGCAAGTTGAAATATCTTCATCACTCATGTCGGGCAACCAAATAACAAAACAAATAAAAGCATCTCCAAAGTCAAAGATAAATGTCATAAATCATACCTAAACCTGTCACTATCCTACCAAACGCAAAGAAATTTCAGATGCATCCAAAGAGATTAGATGAAGATTTCAACAATAAAATCAGGGGGGAATCGAGCAAAAGAAGGGGGAGGAGAGTTTTTCAGGGCATTCGAACAAGAGCAGAGACAGAGAGTTTTCGGGGTATTCAAACAGAAAAAAATACAGAGAAGACTTCCCCTATTCTTCTCTAAAAAGGGACATTTTGTAATAGCTTTGTAACCAAGACTCTCTTCAGATTTTCGAAATATATATACAACAAAAAAAAAGGTTCGTTGAAATCTTCTCCTTTCTTTTGTTTTCTTTTATGTGTGCATGCTTCAAGAACAAAAACGATAGAGGTAAATAGAGAGAATAATACATTTACTTTAGGAGTGGTCCTCGCCGGAGAAGGTGGTCGCGTCTAAGGTTACGTCGGTCGTTTATGGGGTTGGGTTTTAGTTTGATTTAGGGTCTCAATTAGATTCCAAGGAGTGAAAGGATGTTGTTGTGTGTTTGTTTTAGAGAGAGTGTTGGTTGTTCGAACAACCATGGGTGGTGGCCGAGAGGAAGACCGTTGAAGAACGACGATTGGCGTCATGGGGGGTTCGAGTTTGACCGGCTGTGGTTTGAGTTCTTTGGGCTCCATGGTAGAAGTTAGAAAATGAAAGAAAAGGGTTTAATTTTTTTTGGTTTTCACGTTTCTGGAGTGTTTAAAGGGGTGTATTCATTTTAATTATTTCGGGTAAATCATGTGTTAGGTCCTTGATTTATGGTTCCTGTAATTTTAGCACCCTTTTCTCTCTGATCACTAATTTGTGGTATAATCACCCCTAAGTGCCCATAGTCTAGATGTGTTTTCATATTATAGTCATTAGGTGTAGTTTTTTTTTATTTTGAACTCTATATCTTACTTAGGTTTAATTTAGTCCTTAAATTGTCATGTTTTTATTTGAATTTAGTTATTACTTTGATTCATTTTTATCCACTGCTTGTGTTCTGTTAATTATTGTTTTAAGTTTTTTAATTTTAGCATTTAATTGTGATAATTGTTGTTTTAGGCCTTAATGTTATTTCATGGTTTATTGACATTACTAGTGTTTTATTATTTAAAATTTCCTATTGTTACCTTAATTATTATTGGTTTTACTGTTTAGCCATTCAAATTTGGCCCTAATATTTTTATATTTTATTTCATTAATCTAATGAAAGATGCAGTATATATATTCGATAATGTGCATGTGATCTTTAAGTCAAGATTTTGCTGTGGAAATAGTTTTATGTTTTATGTATTATTTGTTCAAGAAAGTTGATGAAATTGGAATCTAATATCATAGGATTCTATTAAGTGGTTCCCACGTTTTTTTTTATATGTTTTGGTTCTTTATATATATATATATTTGTGCATGTTGGATTATGTATACTAAACACACACACACATATATATATATATATATATATATAGCCATATTATATTTTATGCATCTTTTTATACATCAAATAAGCACACACACAAACGCATAAATTAAATATATATTATTAATCCTATTTACATTAGATATATTGTATCCTTTATATATTTTATTACGAGCATGCATGTAATAATTTTTTTATCATTATTTTTATACCCCTTTATTTTATTTGAATATTTTCAAGAATGTATTTGTAGAACGAGCGTGAAAAGTATCACTTGATCGAAATGGTATAATCTGATACGATGTTTGAACAAAATGAAAGCTTGAAATAAATCTAGTTTGTTTTACGAATTAAATTGGTTATGATCTAATGATTTTTTTATATGGTAATTTATTTTATGAAAATATCGATTCAATTTATATTCGATTCGCATTTTATTAAAGAGGGAATATTTTTTATGAATAAGAAATAGTCGAAATAGCTTTCCCGATGGAAGATTGCTAATTTTGAGGTTTCTTTTTTAGATAAAGAATTTTCCCTAAAATTAATTAACTCGAAGCAAATTAATTAAATTTTAAATAAATAGATCATATTTTAACTTTATATTCGATTTGTAATTTCCACCATTTACGATAATGTGTAAGCGATACAGTACCAATTTTGGGCGTTGTGGGGGGTGCTTACCCTTCCCCACACGTAACCGACTCCCGAATCCATTTAAACGAATCTTTGATTACGCATACCGAATTTTGTCTTAAAAATGATTTTTCTTAAAATTGTTTTAAAAGACGTTTTTAGGTATTCGACCTACCTAACCCAAAGGTCGATGGTGACTCCCTTTTCCATTTTATTTCAATCAATTCAAAAACACCAAATTTTCCAAATTAAAATCATAACTGTTTTTAAAACAATAAACAATTGTTCCACCCTAAAATAATGGTTATGACAGCTTGGCGACTCCGCTGGGGACATTATTAGAGAATCAGGCTGAAAGTCGCTTACACATTGTTGTTTTGGTGGAAATTATGAGTTCAAATTCTAGTTAATTTATGATTCGTTTATTGAAGTTTGTAATTGCATCATTTTTTGTTATACTAACATTTTGATTTTGTTTTCAGATCGGTCCAAGTTTTTATCGAGTGGTTTCGTTTTACTTTTGAGTCAAATGGTTGAATGTTCCTCCTCACACACATCACGTGCAATTGCATGACATGAGCTCTAGACACGAGCTCTGAAACTTTTTAAGTGGGGGTGAAAGCGACGCATTCGTGGGAATTTATTCTCCGTATGGGCCTAGCAAGTAACCTTCGGGATTCATATACCTTATGTCTTCGTGGGAATTTATTCTCCGTATGGGCATAAGGGGATGTATCCCCTCGAATTGAACTCGATCCGTTTAAGCCTATAATGGGTGAGGATTCAGGGTTTGGCAGCCCAAGGGGGCACCGATATAAAGGACAATTTGAGTACCTTTTTTCCTCGTTAGAGCTGAAACCATGCATATAGTGAACCATAGAATGGTCATCCTATGTATAGTCATACCAAACCTATGTCCATTAGTTGGTACCCAAAATAGGTATACACAAAGGAGGAGCATTTCTAAACCTTTATCTTTTACTTTAAGTTCTTAGAATATATTTATTTTTGATTAAAAGCATGTGAACTAGATACCATGCGGTTATGATTAATTTCTTGTAAATACATTTTGTGGGTAGAAATCATGTTTGGGTAGGATTAATATCTAATAAAAGCATGCCTGGATAGATAACATAGAAATATATTCGATCCATTTTTTCTTTTATGTTGAATTTACACTTGTTC